AGCTGCGTGGAGCAAATTTAAAGTTGAGTCCAAAGAAATGCTCTTTCTTCAAGCGCAAAGTGAATTATCTAGGACATGTTATTTCTGAGAGAGGAATTGAGACTGATCCAGCCAAGACTGCCGCTGTTAAGGAATGGCCGACACCTAAAGACAAAACGCAAGTTCGGGCATTTCTTGGATTGTGCTCGTATTATCGGCGGTTTGTGAAAGGATTCTCGGACATTGCCAAGCCTTTGCATCGATTGACAGAGGAGAAACGTGCCTTTATCTGGGACGAGGATTGTGAGCAAGCCTTTCGAGAACTAAAAGAACGGCTTTGTAACACACCAATTCTCGGATACCCCAGCGCGAAAGGAATATTCGTAGTTGATACGGATGCCAGCAATATTGGAATAGGAGGTGTCCTTTCACAACGCGATGGTGAGCAGGAGAAGGTTATTGCTTACTTCAGCAAGTCACTATCCAAGCCGGAGAAGAATTATTGCGTGACCAGGAGGGAATTGCTGGCCGTAGTCAAAACTCTGCACCATTTCAAGAAGTATTTACAGGGACGGAAATTTTTGATCAGAACTGATCACGCTGCTTTGAAATGGCTGCTTCAGTTTAAGGATCCCGAAGGCCAAGTAGCCAGATGGTTGGAACAACTTCAGGAATTTGACTTTGAAATCGAACATCGCGGCGGAAGAATTCATGGCAACGCAGATGCATTATCGAGACGCCCATGCGTGGAAGATTGCAAGCATTGTGCCAAGAAGGAAACTAACTGCTTTTCTTAAGGTGATAAGGACTGATACTGTTGACGAGGCATGGGGAGACGATGCGATGAAATTAGAACAGGAAAGAGATGCAGATATCAAACCAATACTGGAGTGGCTACGAAGTGGTAACAAGCCAAGTTGGAGTGACGTCGCCCAATATAGCGCGGTAACGAAAGGTTTATGGGCACAGTGGAAAAGCCTTACGCTGCATAACGGACTTCTGTGCAGGAAATGGGAATCAACAAACGGCAAGGACGAGCATTTGCAATTGGTGGTGCCTCGTTCAAAAATAAGGGATGTATTAAAAGCGTTCCATGATGGATCTTCTGGAGGACATTTGGGAATTAGGAGGACTTTGGTAAAGATCAAGGAGAGGTTTTATTGGTTGCATTGCAAATATGACGTCGAAGATTGGTGCCGGAAATGCACTAGTTGTGCAGCTGTCAAGGGTCCACAAACAAGAAGCAGAGGGGCGATGAAAATCTACAATGTTGGTATGCCTTGGGAGAGAATAGCCTTAGACATCGCTGGACCATTTCCAATCACTGATTCGGGCAATCGCTACGTTTTAGTGGTTATGGATTATTTTACAAAATGGCCGGAGGTCTTTGCCATACCGAATCAAGAGGCAGTAACTGTAGTCACGAAGTTGGTAAACGAGGTATTCACCCGATTCGGAGTGCCCTTGGAGATGCACAGTGATCAAGGACGGAACTTTGAATCCCAAGTTTTCCAGGAAACTTGTAAACTTTTGGGAATCCATAAGACTCGAACGACCCCTTATCATCCACAGTCAGATGGAATGGTCGAACGCTTCAACCAAACATTGGAGCGACACTTAGCAAAGGTGGTTGACAGCCATCAGAGAGATTGGGACACTTACATACCTCTCTTCTTGCTTGCCTATCGGACTGCTGTACATGAAAGTACCGCAAAGACCTGCATGCCTGCATTTGCAAATTTTGGAAGGGAATTGAGATTACCGGCAGATCTTGTATCGGGCTGTCCACCTGGTGACTCTCGCACCGAGTTTAGCGATTACATAAGCGAGTTAAGGGCAAAAATGTTGGACATTTATGAGCAGATCAGGGAGGCCGGTCTTCAAGCTAGTGATCGCGCAAAGACGCGCTATGATCGACGAGCCAATTCTGTTGGGTTTGAAGAGGGGTCATTGGTCTGGCTTCATAATCCAGTCAGAAGGAAGGGAAAATCTCCAAAGCTGCAACCGAGTTGGGAAGGTCCTTACGAGATAGTCACGAAGATCAATGACATTACTTACAGAATTCGGAAGTCTTCAAGGAGCCCTTTGAAAGTTGTCCATATAGACAGGTTGGCGAGGTATTACGGCAGCAACGATGCTCGGGACGAGCGAATCTAAGAGGGGGGCAGTGTGACAGAAAACTCTTTGACATCATGACGTCAATGGATGGTTGTCAAACGTTGCCTAGAGATTGTAAATTTCGTCGTGAATTGTCAACACGAGTTGGTGTAATCGGTAAGGCGTGTGGATTACACCACAGAGACCCCGAGTTCGAGTCCCGCCGTAAACATGAAGTTTTTTAGTTGATGGAAGTTTTGTCGAACTTTCTGGAATATTTGAGTGAAAGTAATGAAAAATTAAGGAGCGAGAAGGAGAATAAATAAAAATGAATAACGAAATTATTGGAAGGTTCTGGAGGCATGACGATCAAAAAGAATAACGAAATTGAATGTTCTAGAACCTGACCAGGGGTATATAAGCGGAACTGCGGCTCACCGCTGGCAGTTGAGTTCTAAGTCCAAAGCGATTCGGAAGAAAAGGAAGAAGTGAAAAGAAGAAAAGTGAGTGAAATAGTGAAGTACAGTGAAATAGTGAAGTGCAGTCAGTTAAGTGAGTTAAGTCAGCGTGAACAGTGAACGGCAAAGTTGTGTCAGTCGGCCGGACTCTGCTGGAGAGGAACGCCGATAACTTATCCGTATCCGTGGACGCTGTCACTTAAGTGCAATAGAAAGTCTGAAAACCGGTATTAGTGTTTAATTTCATCCAATCCCGTAACCCAAGCCCGCATAGTTAGGAACGTGACGTCAGGCACGTAACACATTAAATACACTTTGTTGATGATGATGATGATGATGATTATCATGATAATGATGATGACTATTATGATGATCATGATGATGAGGATGATGAAGAAGACGATGATGATGATGATGATGATGATGATGATGATGATGATGATGATGATGGTGTTTAGGTTTGTGGGGAAAAATCATTAATTGACTTCTCCGCTCCGCCCTGAATGTGGCGCACAGAAGGTCTAACTTCAACTGACTAAAGACTTCCCCCGTTCCTTGTCCCGGTTCGCAGAGGGCTACGGTTACAATATTGCGCTTTCCGCTTTCCCACAACTAAACAAGGATTACATTTTAATTTGTACATCTTTTTTGTATGATAGGATGGTAATCGAGCAGACGAGTTACCTCATGGTAAGCAATCAGCGCCGCCCATGGACACCCGCAACACTAGATGTGTGCATTTACGGGCAATTACAAATGCGTTTCTAGCCTTCTGGGGATTAGGGTTATGGAGATTTAGGGCTTTCGAAGGGGTTCTGAGAGAGAAAAAAGAATTGGGTTCCGGTAACCTCACTCACACGGCGAATCATTACACACATGGTTGATTCACGCCGGTTTCTTCTGAGGCCGTAACATTACGGTTGATTCGGATTCGTGCTGGGGGGTAACCATGACGTTCGAAGTAAGACTGTTTTAATCTTACTTCAGTGTGGGTAAGAGACAGAGGTAGACAACTTGTATAGCTCTTTCTCTTTCTGAAGTAAGATTAAAACAATCTTACTTTGAACGTCATGGTTACCCCTGACTTGAGCCGGACCCGAGCGTACGGCGCGTAGCGTTCCGCGCGCGCCTCAAAGAGCCAATAGAACACCTCAGATGGGGCCCTATAGGGCTGATGTTCAGCCGGGGTTGCGGGGTAAGCGCAATGAGGCACCGCGACCTCGGCCCAGATCAGGAGAAGGAACGGGGGTGTTTTTAGTCAGTAAGAGTCTGACACTCTCTCTCTCTCGCCTTACCCTGGGCGGGAGAAGTCATTGGATGGTTATCCCCTTACAAAAAAAATGGTTACCCCTGAAGCATGGCTCTTCCAAACTTTACTTCCTACAGACCGCATCTTTACTTTTTTATTTAATCCTTACCACAAACTGATAAAGTTAGTAATAATACATATGTTAATACATAAGACGCATATAACTGCGTCGATAAATATCAATGAGAAATGGAAAAACACTCGATACTTCCTAGTTTTATCGGAAACATAATAATATTGTATTTATTTTAAGATTTATTTAAATTCACGAGAATTAATTCAGTTCCGTATGAATTATTATTCTTTTACCATAGGTGACGATGTTGCTTTGTATTGATGAACCATCACGTGATGTTTTTAATAATATGGTCTATTTATATTAATTTGAATAAATAGCAATAAAAACATATCCAAGGCTTTCTCATAATTTAGTAGTTCACTATAATATTTCGAACAGCTCCAGTAAAAAGCCCGTGTTTTATTCCCGACTATAATCTATCTCTGTGCTAAATCTCATTCACATATGTATAAAAGATTTGACGTAAAAGAGTATCTAATAAACATACATCTTTTTATTATTTGTAATCGCATTAGCGTTTCTCTTGGTTTGATTTACTTGGTTGTTGGTTGAATCGTCTCACACCACTCACCTATCTAGTAAACTATGCAGGGCGCTGAGGCAGGGCGCTAGGCTGGTTCTAAGAATTTTTAAATGTGCCATTTATATGGTAGAAGGCTGGTCTCCTATTAGATAGGACTTTGAAACTTTGCCACAGACTGTTTTTTTATGAGATAGTTTGGCAAACGCGCTGACGAATTACTTAAGGCAATCGGCGCCGCCCGTGGACACCCATTGCAACACCAAAAGAGTTGAGCCTTGCCGGCCTTTTGAGGACAAGGGCTTCGGATATTTCCTTAAATATCTAAAACCCGGATAAGGGCATTAGGAGGGATTGGGCTTCCGGTAACTGCACTAACACGGCGAAACACAACGCTGTGGTTGTTTCAGTCCGGTTTTTGTGAGGCCGTGGTGAGTGTTAACTCAGGTCAAGCCGACCAATTCGTGCCGAAGCTTTGCTTTCCCACACTTACACTGTACCCCTTTAACCTAACCTAACCTAACAATAAGAAACATTAACATAAGTTTAAATTCCCATATGATATTACAGGAAGCCAAAACAGTACTGGCCTGGCTCCGAGGAGTGAGTGTAGTGGACCGCGGTGTGGAACAGGACATCGATAGCATCGTCAGGGTTGAGAAGCAGACACAGGCTGACTCGCAATCCGTTTGGAAGATTATTTGTAAGTTAACTCATAGTTTATTTTATGGAATAGGAAGTAAACAAGCAGACCGTAGACCTGATCTGATAGTATGTGATCAACGCCATCTATTGACAGTTGTAACATCAAAGAAGTCAAAGAACGTTTCTGGCGTTTTCTTGGTCATTCGTTATTTGAGAATTGGAAATAATGGATAAGGCGCCCGGGAAGGTTTTGAAAAATACTTGAAAAGAAAACCTACATACTACGTCACGCATTTTATTGGAAATAAACTGCTATTAAAGTTTTTATCGAATCAATCTAAGGCAAATTTGTACCCAATAAAGTTAATTTGGGGAAGCATATTTTCAGTGGTAGACATCTTACAGTAACTAGCTAATCTCGCTCGTTTTCACCCGTTCGACTCCATTTGATCGTCGCCTGTAGCACTTGGGAACATTATACCTATCTATGTATAAGTAAAAAAAATTGGAAATCCCACCAGTGGTTCCAAAGATTACCCGCTATATAGGTATATAAACTTACAAATTACAAATATTACCTCTTTATAATATTAGTATAGATATAATGGCGAAGAATAAAAACATTTTACCTTTTCCACAGGGCAAGACAAACCGACGTTCAAAGCCTTCATCATCACAATAATCATTAAGATCACGCAACAGTTCGATGGGTACCTCATAGTACTGATATACGCCGGCTTCGTATTCGAACGGGCTTCGGAATCCATCAGCCTTAAACTCAGTCCCAATAAGCAAGTCATGATGATCGGAGTAGTTCAGCTATTGGGATCTATCGTTGCCACCTGCATTGTGGAGAAGACTGGTAGAAAGGTGAGTAGTTTTATTGTTTCATGGAATTTAAACTTGAAATTAAACTATATAATTATTTATCGTGTCCAAGTACTGAAACATTTATGAGTTTACATAAAATATGGAATGTTTAAAAAACAGTGTGGTGTTCCATAAGATCGGAAATGGAGGGTACTCTCACCAGGCGAGGTTATCAGCCTAGCTGGCTACTGGCCCACAGTTATACATAGGAATTTTCTGTCAGTATTAATTCGAGCACAAACTTTACTTGCGTGATGTAGGACTTGTGGTGCCATCTGTTGATAATTGATGTTACTACGTGCGTCGCCACAAATGATTTGCCAATGTTTGAAATTTTGTCCCAGAGTAAGTATTAGATTTTTTTTGCTTCTCATGAAAAGCAAAAAAACCTATATTACAATAAGGTATCTTATTGAAGTTATAGATAAGTGTAGACCGTATATTTAAAAATTATACTTACTCAAACACGCAGATATAGTACAGTACAGCATAAACATTTATATATTCATAAAATAGTAATAGTCGAAAGTCAAGTTTTTTTGCTATGCTAAACAAACTATTAGCATAGCAATTTACTTTTCTTTGTGTTTCGATTCTATATTTCACGAATAACGATCAAAATCGTTGAAACATCAAAATTTAAAACAAATAATTCTAAAACCAAAACACTAATCTTAATATTTCTCCGTTACTATTTCAGCTTCTTCTAGTGACGACATCGTTTGCTGTAGGAGTTGGTATGGTAGTCCTCTCAGCGTGGTTCTACATGACCTCCTCAGGGTTCTGGCTGCCCGGCTGGTTACCGGTCCTCGCCATGTGCCTCTGCATCTTCGCTGATGCTGCGGGCTTCCAGCCAATATCCTACATCATTATCACGGATCTCTTTACGTTCCAGGTTCGTTAAATTATGTTTCTAAACCAATTGTTTTGTTTTCCATCCCTAGTCGACATGAGTAACCCGTTGTTGACCACTGTTGGAGTTGCCTTTCCTCTACTTAAAAGGTTTTGGATCATCTTCATACTTAGCTTGTAGGTGTTTTGGAGGGCAATATCATTTATTTACTTTTTTTATATTTTTTTGTTATGAGGGGGTTAACGCTTAGTGGTACCGTAAATTTCTAAAACTCATTCGACATTTAGTTAATTTGAGTAATTTATATGACAATAGCACAGGCCACGTAAACCACCTTCATATTCAATCGTAACATTTGGTTCATCTGCTATTTAATTACTGTTTCTATATTTAAAATCTTTATTTCTACCTATAATTAGATATTTTACTGCCAAAACACTGTTTCTCGCTTATCAATAACACAGTTCATCACAGTAACTTTCTTCGTTTTCAGCTCCGTGGCAACGTGTCAGCTTTTGCGAACGTGTGTGCGAAACTAAGCAACTTCGTTCAAACGAAATGGTTCACCATTATCTGTGAGCTGATCGGTATACATTGGACCTTCTTGTTCTTCGCTGCGATCTGCTTCGTCGCCTGCTTCTACACTATCATCTACTTCCCCGAGACCAGAGGCAAGACCGTCGATGAAATCTACTCCAAGCTCTCAGGTAAGGCCAAGAAAGATGACAGCAGGATCGAGTCTGTACCATAAGTTAATATTAGTCAAAGTTGAAATTCCAGTGTCACTGATTCCAACAAGATGAGCTAGAAACTTTTTTGTCACTGTTGCACAAAAGTCAACTTTATTTGTTCAATGTTTTAGTTGATTTTTATTAAAGTGACTGTTATTATTATTATTATTTTCCTTTAATCAATTTTATGCAATGATTTGTGAACTTTATTGCATGGCAATAAAGCTTCTTTTTCTATTTTTATTTTAATTCGATTGACTTTAAAGTCCAGTACTGGACTAAGGCTTATAAAAGTCATACTAGTAGTAGATTCTGTATTTGTTTTATGAATACTGTTTAATTTATCATTAGCCAATCAGAAAAGGCCAAAATGACGTCATCTATATTGCGTCAAATGAAAAGGAATGATGGCAAATTAAATCGAATGTTTTTTTTAAACGTAAGAAATAGACGTCGTCCTAGCATAACAAACAGGATTTTGTCAATATTATTAAAAATGTTTTCTTAACAAATAAAAAACATAGATACTTAAAAAGAATTAATGTTATCAAGCGTTTTGCTTCATAAATCATTCATTTAATTGTCACCATCATCCCAGTTTCTATTTAAATAGTTTGTTTCAAAATTAACCAAAAAAAAGACGTCAAATTCTTTCCAACTGATTCAAATTTATGTCAAATTCTGTGTTTATAAATTTAATATTATGAGCCCGAAACTACAAAAAAAAATTGTCGCAGTGTTGATCTTTTGTGATGTTATGTTCGAATTTATTGATTGAATGTCGATTTTAATTCATTATTATTAGACCATAATTATTTAATCATAATTTTTATTTAATGGATGTATATACAGTTACAATTTGCGTGACAATACGCCTTATTTATAAATTAATTAAAAACAAATCTCGCTAAGAATCAAGCGTTACTTAGAAAATTCTCAAGTTAGTTCACAAGGACTGCCGATAGATGGCGCTATATACTTAATAATGTACAGTTGATATTATTCAGTGATCTCATTTCCATACCTTTTAACCAATACATGTTTTGAGTTAATAATGTAATAAAGTTAAAAATCTAATTTGATTGAAATCTTTACTTATAACAATCGATGTTTAAGTATACTGGTTTATACCTAAGTTTTACCTAAGTAACGCTTGGATCTTAATTGTGTTTCAAAAGGTTCGAATACTTAAACGCAACTCAATTATCAACAGGTATTTTGTTCCGCTAACTATTTATATCATTTTTAAATTTAATATTGAGTAGTGTTTGAGTATTAAGACTTTGTTATTTATTACATATATGTATAATATAAAAATGAGCTCTCCGTCCAAAGCCAATCATAGTATCCAAGAGAATAGTAAACTATTATTTAAAGTAGTTCTGTCTGTATTATTATCATAGCATGATATTGCTGTTACGAAGATAATTCGTGCAATTGTTGAGTAACATCATTTAATTTCCCAAATTTTCTATAAAATGATGATGTTTACTTAAAATAACGACTCCTTCATTTAAAGAAACTGAGAAAGGGTCTACTGGTTTCAGTTGCAAGTCAGTCAGCAGGACTCTTATTCATGAACAACGTTCACGTACGCAGCTTAACTAGTAGAACTATTCTCAGTTCACAAGTATGCTGTTTTTGAGTAAACTTTGGACTTAAGTCTCATGAGAATTATTCCATCTAAACTTTGCTTAAATATGTATTTAAGGCTTGCTTTGTGTGGCCTTGAATTTATATCATGTAATCTAAAGAGAAACTTACTGAAATTTAAGAACGTCTTCCATGGAATGTGTACAGATATTTAAGATAATATTGTTATTTCCTAATGTTGTACGCTCTCTAGTATAGTTACATCCCTTGGACCATATTGTCATTGAATTAATTCTCTTTGCCAAAAGGGCGATGGAAATCACTTTGTCCTTTCTTTCGCGTCATGTCCTCCTATCCTGTTCCTGAAGCGATCATCTGGATACTTAGTCAAATCACTATGTGATGATCCCTAATCCATATAAGTGTCTACGCATAACCAAAACCTGAAAATATAAACACGTTTTTTAATTACAGTTAATTGCATCAATGAGCAAGTTAAAGTTAATGAACAAGTTAGTTTCTTAGCCGCCTTTTAACTTTGGTTTACAACTAACTAGATCTTACTCGTCTGATAGCGAACCAATGAAAATAAATAAGTTTCGCTAATATCGTCGATAGATGGTGTTAGCGTCGAATTAGATCGCACTATGATGTGTTGGAAACTGAATATTTACTGAAGTTTTTAACTGTACTTAAAATACGCTTCTCATACAACTAGACTATAATTTCCCAACCATGTAATAATATATCCTTATAATAATAATGACCTAAGTGCTGCAATAATTTGTATTAGTACTTAGACCAAATATTGTATTAAAATTATAGTACTTATTTAATTTATTAATAAAATATTATAATCGTGTACGCCAGTTCATTGAGCTATCAATTTTAATCTTATTTTTATTGCTAGTAAAGTTGAAAATAAATTAATATAGCTTGATGTGCTGGTATCTGTATTACGGGGAACAGAAATATGTAATCTCAAGTAAAGCAATTTAATTTAAAGTTTACTACATAATATACTTTTTTGGCTAGATTTGGTAAAGACGTAGGCCTAAGACCAGTGCAATCATAATATTGTCAACACACATACATCTGAACACAAACTAGTGGATTTCTTTTTCCAGTCTATAAGTGCCCTCTAAGAGCAAAGGCCTTTTCTCACACGGAGAATGTTTGAACATTAATCACTATTCTTGCTTAAGACGGATTGACGATATCAAACTTGTAATTAGCAATTACCTTTATTATTATAAGTCCGCGTTTCTTTACAACGTATTAAATCAGTGGGATTGGAACAGTTTGCCGGCTGCAGTCTTTCCGTCCGAATACAACTTAGGTGTCTTCAAGGCTAGAGTGAATAGGCTCTTAATAAACTAGTGCGCCTTACCATCAACGATTGCATCACTGCTTAACATCAGGTGGGATCGCAGTCAAGCACTGGTTTATTGCAAGTAAAAAAAAAAAAAAAAATCACCTACTTCAATACCTCAGTGGTGTCTAAATTACCTTAGAAAGTAAGTACATAAAACTTGGAAAAGTCACATTGGTAGACTCATGTATGAACTACTATGGAACTACTGTGGAAGACTACAGTATACATTCTGTTTGTTTCGTGGTCTGGCTTTACGATAATGACGTCTAATGACAAGTCCATTCAAGCTACTTTTGATTACATTTTTCTGTCACCCCTTGTATACTTGTATAATTTAATTTATTAAGCGTATATTTATGAGCCATTGTAGATCATAAATAATTACCTACTAGTTATTTACTTAACATAATTTCTTGTAAATAATTTCATGTGCCTAACTTTAGTTTTTAGTCCTTGAATGATATTTAGTTCTTAAAACGCCACTGGTGTTATGATTGGCGATAGTGAGACCATTACATTAAAATGGTGATACTTTATTAAATGAATGCTTAATTATTGTTTTCTTTAATGAAATTTGTTTCAAAATACAATTTTTGTTCGTAAATCCACTGTTTATTATTTTATCAGGCATGACTTACTGATATTTAAATAACAATATTAACATTTAAAAATAATACGATAATATTGACATAACACTAATTCTAAATCCTAGCGACAGAGGCGCTCTCCGCTAAACACCTAAAAAAAAATGTAATTTAACTTTTCAATAACTCACTAGATGGCGTTAGTCACATTAGTTGTAAAATTAGTTTTTGACAGACGCATAGATGGCGTCGTAAATAATGCGTTTTGAAAACGTAAATTTAATGTAAATATGTGATTAATGATAAGAATTAAAACGTAATAGTAATTTAATTATAAGCTAAAGACTCTCGTTAATAAACAGTTACGACTTAAAACGTATTTTTACTGCAATTTTTTATAGCTGCATTGCTTTTTTTAGTTGGTTCGATCCCAAAAACACGTGCATAATAGTCAACTTCAAGAGCCCGAGGTTACAGCTTAACTGAAACCGTCTTTTTTATTTTGTATGTCATAAGTCGCCAAACGAAATCGATTACCTGATGGTAAGCAACCAAAGCAGGCCATTTACACTCGCAATACCAAAGTGAGTCATCTCGATTGGGCATCCGATAACCTTACTCACACGGCGAAACACAACGGTTACACGTCGGTTTTCTGTAAGGCCGTGGTATCACGCCCTTTCGTGCCGAATAAATATAAAAATAGCTGTCCGACACTTACATATATACTCCTCTAAATAAAATAAGGTGCCCCTCACTGAAACACGTGAAATAAATAATATATACTACACGAAAAAGGCCATAGATTCATGTATGCCGTCATCTTTGATTAACCTGACAAATATATAATAGCAACTAACAAATAAAAATATCTATCTTATTACATTTCATAAAACGAAAGGCGCTCATTTTATTTTCATTTTTAGTAGTAGTGTAGTGTTGTCAAAATTCAAAAAATAACGCATCAAATTGATGATTTATTTGTAGAACAAATTGCTTTTTGTTTTTCTATCACAATGGATAGGACGCCAAGCAAGAGAACGAACGAAATTTCTGATGGTAAGCAATCCGCGTAATTAGAGGAACAACATTGTGCCTTCAAAATGCTTTTGGGGAAAAAGACAAGGGAGTGTGGGATTTTACCTCACTAAAACCTCCCCGGTGGCCACCATCAACATCTGTAAGGGACACCGGGACCTCTTAATAGACCAACGCCAGAGTCAACAGTGCAAATAGAAACTTTCTAATACGTTTTTATAAACCATGGATTTTATTAATTACTTAGTTAAAGCCGGTTGTTAACTTAAATGCAATGGAAAATAGGAAGAGATAAGAGGAAATCAGAATTCCGTTTCCAAATGATTTATCTAGTGATAAATAAACTCAATGTTAGAAGATGGCGAGGCAAGCCCTGAAGGAAATTATAGGATGAAATTAACGGTTAGGATGAAGATTGGTTTCGACTCTTGGCTAATACGAAATAAATAAATGTAGTAATTGTGTGATATTTGCGAAAAAAGTTGGGAGACAACAGCAAAAACGGAAAAAAATGGAGCAATCATTCATCGTTAAATTGATGTATTACAGCATATCATATGCATGAAGTGAAGCTCAAGAATAGGTACAGATCGTAGATATGTAAGTGAATCAAAATCCGAACTATCCAAACTAATCCAAATCCAGACAATCCAAATCCGAACTAATCCAAATCTAAACTAGGTAATCCAAATCCAAACTATGCAAATCCAAACTAATCCAAATCCGAACTAATCCAAATCCAAATCCAAACTAATCCAAATCCAAACTATTGCAAATCCAAACTAATCTAAATCTAAACTAATCCAAATCCAAACTATTGCAAATCACTATTCCACGCGAACAAAGTCGCGGGCAAAATAGTAGGGAAAAAAGAAGTGTGGTATTGGGTATTCTCATCATCATTCATCCTAACCGTTAATATCATCCTATCATTTCCTTCAGGACTTGCCTCGCCTTGTTCTAACATTGTGTTTATCACTAGATAAATCATTTAGAAACGGAATTCTGATTTCCTCTTATCTCTTTCTATTTTCCATTGCATTTAAGTCAACAAACGGCTTTAACCAAATAATTAATAAAATCCATGGTTTATAAAAACGTTTTAGAAAGTTTCTAGTTTCTATTTGTACTGTTGACTCTGGAATTGGTCTATCAAGAGGTCCCGGTGTCCCTTACAGGTGTTGATGGTTTTGGACTTGTCAAGTAAGTAGCAAAATCCTTTTGCGTTTGTTAACATCCCTATTTTTTTTGCATTTTTATGGAATAGGACGCAATAAGAATTTTGCATTTTTATGGAATAGGACGCAATAAGAATTTTGCATTTTTATGGAATAGGACGCAATAAGAATTTTGCATTTTTATGGAATAGGACGCAATAAGCAATCTGATCACCTGGTGGTAAGTGAAAGAGCGCCGCCCGTGGACACCTGTAACACCAGAGAAGGCAAAGGCGCGTTGCCGACTTTTAAGAAGGAGTGTGCTCGTTTCTTGAAGGTTTGTGTCTCATTAATAAACTCTTCACAGTAGTTACTATGTAGCTGGTACATAGTAAGTCATTCTCTGTAGATTCCATCAAATATCAACCCCATTTTAAATTGTCGATCCTAGTTATCACACCAACATCTGTCACAGTCGTTATAACTATAGTAGATATGTCTAGCTACAATGACAATCACAGATGTACCTAAAAAAATCTGACATTGTTTTTAATAATTATATTAGGTACGTCTCTTGGGTCGTACGGTGCAGATGGCAGCCGAAGCCATCATCAATATTAATAACTAGCTCCCGCACGCAGCTTCGCGCGCGTGGTATGTTGATAAAAAGCACACACACACCTGTATTAATCCAACATATCTAC